TTATAATACCTTAGTGTGAAAAGCAAAGATGAAGAGAAACACTAGGCGAATTGGCACATCTCTCTTTCATTTAGTAACTACAGCTGCTACAGACCTTCCTTGCATAAGGTTAGAAAGGAATCAAAGACAGGGAAGGCGGATGCTATAAAAACCCGAAAAGACAAAAATGGATATATAAAGATAGCATTCAGTGACATTTTGTAACAATGAGGAAATTTCAAAATGTATCATCTGGCCCAAAATAAATTCTTCTCTGGATAAAGGAGAAGCATCTGACAAGTTGATACGTCACCTTATTTCAGTTAAAATATCTTTGCATTCTCTGTACACAGATGCACTCTTTGCGCTGAGGTTGATGTGCAGAATTTATCGTAAATTCAGACAAAAAATATTCAATCATCTGGTCAGAGCCAGCCCTTACCAAACAAGTCCATCACAGAAAACCCTCTCTCCTTCCCAAACCTCCATTCCTAATTGCTGAGAAAATGCAAAGAATATTCCCCCACTCCCTTTCCAGAGTATGCTGGAGCTAATGTCTTTCTGTTAAAGGCAGGTTTGGCTCACAAGTTCAAATATAAATTTGTTGACTAATATATACAGCACTCCTTTAAGCTTTGCTCACATGAAATGAATGCAACTCCACTGTCTACTGACCCAGTGTCAGTGGGGTCTCATTTTTCTTTTAAGCTCTTAAAAAAAGATATGTCTTTTCCTACCTCAAGGGAAACCAAATAGCTAAATATTTCATTCACAGACATTTTTTAAATGTCTCCTCTATTTAGACACAGATTTGGCACAGCTTTAGTGGAGATAATAATAGATAAGTCTTTTGTTGTTTAGTTTTCTTGAGGAGTGTGGACGTTTCTATCTGTATACATACCAACCACTCTAAAGCCATATAGTTACTTATCTCCTGTAATTGCTCTTAATAAAGAGCAATATAATAAAGAGAATATATTCCCTTTCAGGATAAATGCATGAGAAATAAGTAATACAACAGAATAAAAATTCAAGGCAATTTACTGTAAATCTGATAATGTATTTGGACATTAAAAGAACATACCCATACACAGATACAATACCAAAGGAGCACATTAAACAAGCAACACGGAGGGGAAGAGAGGACTGGTTCTGCTCGTATTCTGTAAATCCACTTGCTTCCATGGATGGATTTCTAGTCAACATCACTAAGAGAGGAGACATAATCACAGCTCACATTGTAATGAAGTAATCAGTTACCACTGTGCTGCTGCTTCTTGTGTATTATGAACCATAATTATCTTCTTGATAACATGAACAAAATCCTATTGATTCATTTGAAAAGCTACAAACAGACCAATACATACACGATCATTTGTTGATTAACTAACTTTCTGCTAGAAAGTTATAGGTTCAAAGCTGTAGCATTCATCTTTAACAAGTAATCCAGCGCTGCTCACTATCATCTTTAAAATAGCACATATTCCTTACTCAAAGCATTGCTTAGAAAAAAGAAAGAAAGAAAGAAGGAAAACCAAGATACACTGGGATCCAAGACAGCAGTTCTACTTCTAGCCCTTTAATTTTCTTTCCATGTATTTGAAGGAAGATCCCCCCTAAGCATGAATAGCTTGGCACTGAAAGTGAATATTCCCCTTCTGTGTTGATTTAAAGCCTTTTGATAGATCCAAAGGGAGCTCTTTACGGCCAGCTCCCCATCCCCGTGACCTCTGACTTAACCTGGAAGGGTGAGCCATCGCCCTTTGTAACAGTGCAGCTGGCCTGGCGGCTGTCACAACAGGCAAGTCACAGTTAAGCAGAGGAGATTTGCAAGGTCTGCCGCTGTATGCAGAAGATGTGAATTTAGATCAGGCCTTCTTGTTTACACAGAAATGGCCTTTACACTGAAGCGGAATCAAATTCATCTGCCAAAACATCTCATACAGAGCTAAGCGCTAAGTCAGAACAATAACAGCAGCAAGCAATTTCCCATCATTCTTCTAGCATTCCTCATTTTTTCATGAACTTTTTTGTTTTGTTTTTGCAGCTAGTGGTGTGCTAGCTGTGTTGCTGATTGTTATATTTCTGGACCAGATCAAATCTGACCAAGCAGAGACTGGGAGAGAAATAACAAAGGCACCATCCTTTTGGTCTACCTTCCTAGCAACTTTCCAGCAACTTAAAGATAAAAGACAATGTCTTCTAATCCCTCTGACAATGTACAGTGGGTTTGAACAGGGATTTCTTGCTGGTGACTACACAAAGGTGTGGATGACAATGACAATGACAAATCTATGTGTGCCTGATTGTTCTTTGTGTCTTACTATTGTGTCTGTGATTTACTCGTTAAATTGAGATATTTTCAATGGCAATTTGTGGTTAGCCAAATTCCTGTTTATTTCTACTTGAATGAACTCTGAGTGACATCTTCGAAAAGGAGAGGCCGGCAGTAAATATGCCCCTTGGAACAGCCTTAAAAAGAACATTGAGGAGATCTTAACTCATCAGTGGAGGCACAGCAGAGAGCTACAGGTTCAAGCTCTTCAGTCGGTTGTAAATAACAACTTGGGAGAAAAGCCAGAAGTCTGCAAAGCTTTTTTATCTTCCTTCCTTCTGGTTTCTCCAGAGTTTGTGTAAGTGCAAGTTAGCAAACACCACATATTTTATTTTGAAGACTTGTACAATAAGAGGACAAACCCTTAAAATGGCTAGTTGCAAGCCCTCACCAGCCACAAATGCAACAGGTTGCAAAACCTGGCAGATTGAAATGGTCAGAACCACCTCTGCTCCTCCAATTTCTCTAGAAAACCCACATATACAGCACGTGTGTTGTCCAGATGTTTGCTGAGAAAGTCTCCAGAGAAAAGGGGCAAACCTTCTGAGCTGTTTATTTGACACTTAAACTTTCAAACCTTAAATATAAGCAGAGGGAAGAGTGCACTTACTGCTGTGTTTGAATGGCTTAAAAGGGGCAATCCATGGCCACTTCTGCTGGCTGAATGTTCCTGTAGGTGAATCCTCTTCACTTCCTGGGAGCTGCTCCATAACAGCTATAGTGCTGACTGTCAATTTTCATCTCATGGGCTATAAAGGGAAGGGCAGAGCGTTCTATGTGCCACCACCAGGAGGTTTATTTGCACAGCCAAGACACCAATCTGGGGACTGGGTTAGGAATATCACTGCTGAAGGCCAGCTATGTCAGTACTCCAGAGACTTGTTAGCAAACTCTGTAGCTGTGTTCCTTTGATCATGTCCGTGCTGGCTGTTTACCAAACATTCAGGCTAAGACCCTTGAACCTCAGCTGCATATTTTCACCAAAGCGAACGTGTCACCACTGTCTCTTTTCTTCCAGACCTATGTAACCTGTGCCCTGGGGATACATTACGTTGGCTTCGTAATGATCTGTTTTGCAGCTACAAATTCCCTCTGCTCTCTGCTCTTTGGAAAGATCTCCCAGTTCACGGGAATAAAACTGCTATTTGCAACAGGTATGTAAAGGTCACTTGAAGGACTGATCACCTCATATGGTATGTCAAATCCAATGCTGTGCCTCATCTGCTCGCATGCAGGACAATGAGTTAACACCACAATGATCTGGAGGCAAGCAGGATTCACAGGAAGAGAGGCAGCACAGTCAACTGTTGTATTCAAGTCATTGCCTTAAATTACTTTGCTGGTGGTGTAGTTCACCCTGCTTCTGAGGGCACTGTCTACTCAGAAACTGCACTACGGCTTTAATGCTTTATAGCTTTAATGCAACTGGTGATAAATAATCTTACAATACAGATGTCTGTATCTGAGAAGGATTTCTCCATCCATGTCAAACCTTCTCACATTTATGGGGCAAAAACCACAGAGAACCTAATAAGAGATACCATTAATTTGAGACTGAGGGTGTCAGTGAACTTAGAAGTTTCAGCAACCAGTCTGATCATTTCAGGACAAATTTTAAAGGTTGAACTGGTGTCATTTTAACTACTTGTTCTATATGGTGAAAAATATGCCAGTGTGTCAGGCTAGAATAACTTGAGGGCCAATAGTTTTCAGGTTGCCATGAGAAGAGATTTGCATAATTAAGAACATCTTTATCTCCGGAGGACACTGTTCCAGTGAGTAACTAGAGACAGAAAAAATATCAAGAAATATTTCATTTGTGTCCCAGTATCCACTAAGTTATTCAGATTGAAGTGTACCTTACTTTCATGAAGTCTGTGCACATCTTTCTAGACATTTCCTCCACAGGGATTTTTAAGCCTGGACAAGGAAGAAGAAATTCAGAGTCCTTCATTCTACAGTCACTAGTTCAGTGTTTCTTATATTTATATGTCTGTACTTAGTGCATGTTTCACTCAAGAAAATCATTTTAGATTTAAAAATAATCAATTATCCAAGAAAATATGGTTTTAGCAATCCAAGACCTCTGAACCCCTCAATTCTCTTGAAGAGGCTTTGGGTGACTAATCTACATTCTGCCTGCAAAAAGAAAGACAGAAAGAGAGCAGACCCTTCTGTATATACTTACTTGTCTCGTCTGGCCCTGAAAGGAAATCTACCTTTAAGGACTACATAAAGAGAAGAGAGCAGTGTTTTCTTTCGCCTGCCACATGCCCCACACCAGGATTCCAAATCTTTCGGCAGCCCCTTCTCCTACTCAGTGATATTTTGTCTTAGTTGTTCCCAATGGCAGTTCCTGACTTTTAGGATAAAAGCCGTATCAGCTCAGAGGATCTCTGAGTTTGAACAGTACTCAGTATGACTAATGAAAGACTGTTAAGGGACTCTGTTGTCTTGTGGTTCATGTGATACCAACTTAGTGAATGAAAACAGAAGGATTGCCTTGTGTTTTAACTGGGGGAAGAACTTGAAAGTATACCTATCTGTCATATCTGTTCTGTTTATAATAATTTGTATTTCTCTTCTTTCTAAACTGACAGCTACCGTTACAAACATTGCCAGTATAATAGCACTACTGCTGTGGAAACCTCATCCTAACCAGCTTGTTGTGTTTTTTGTGTTCCCTGCTCTTTGGGGCATATCTGATGCTATTTGGCAGACACAAACTAATGGTAAGTCCTGCTGACAGTGAAATGAATTCTCTTGAGATATAAAAATCTGCATATTCATATTTATAAGCAACCTGTTCTAGGACACGTGGACATAACAATTATAATGGATTTAAGACAGAACATGAAAGAAATATGGTAGCTCAGCAGACAGTAGCACAAATAAGAATAGATTAGGAATAAACATCTAGAATGCTTATAAAAGCAATTCTTTCCAAGGTGTAGAAAGAGAAACATCCCGGAAGATGATGACAGATACTCAGAATAAATCTTCTGGAGAAGTATAGGTTTTTCAAAGAAAACTACACAGTTCAGAAGAATGATATATTTAGCCTGTCTGTTGTAATAAAGGAGAGTACTCTGAAAAATATCAACTCAAAGCGCAGCAACAATAGATGAAGCAAATAGTCCATTAGGAGTTATCAGAACGAAATTGAAGGAGAAAACCACAGAGAGCAACATTATGCAACCAAGTAAATCCATGATGCATGCAGTTCTGATTTGCTCCATTTCAGAAAAACATATAATCAAATATGATAAGCTGCAAGAAGGCAGTAAGAATAAATAAAGTTAGGGAAGACTTCCACATGAAGGAAGGCTAAACATACTAGGACACTCTATCCTGGACAAGTAATAACTAAGGGAGGCTGTCAGTAATATCATAAATAGTATGAGGAAGTGAATAGGGGATGATTTTTGCACTATTGTCATAATAACAGAACTAGTGGCATCAAATGAAGTAACCGGGCAGTAGGCTTAATACAAATCAAAGGAAATACTTTTTCACAGCATGCACAGTTAAACTGTAGAATTCAATGTCAAAGGATTTATGAAAACCCACAAATGTAAATGGCTTTAAGGGGGAATTACATCACTTCAGTGAGGAAATGTTCTTGGGAGCTGTTAAGCCTGACAATCCAGAGGAATTCTCCAACTCAGGAAGTCCCTACCTTGTGATTGTCAGAATCAGGACGGCATTGGAGGGAAAGATCATTCTGTACTTGTCTCATTTCTTACACTCTTCCCCCGAGAGTCCATTACTGGAAGGATATGGCTGGGCTTCTTGTCTGATGCATTACACCTACCTATAATTTTTTCTTCTGTCTTTCTGTTTTGTGATTATATATGACAGTTCAGATAACGACCTGATACAAATTCACTGCTGTAAGGTATTCTTTAAACTTACAGCTCACTCAAAACTAGAGGAAGTTCTCTTACAGAGAGACTGAAGTATATGCAACTGGAAGGCAGATTCTAAAACGTTAGAGAGGGCAAGAAAGAGCTATAGTCTCTGCTGAATTGAATTACAGTCTGGTAATGATTGCCAGTGAAAATCTTTTAAGCTCAATGCCATAATCTGTGTCAGCAAGTCAGTTAAATGCTTTCCCATCTGCTCACATGTTTTGCTTCCTTATTTCCTGAATAATTTTTTCCTTCATCTCCAGTTCAGATTTGGTTGATACCGTAGGAATATGCATGTGACAGAACTAGCTCATCTGGGCCCGCGTCAGGACAGGTAGCTGGGCCTCCCTTCTCCTTGTCCCTCTGGTTGCTTGAGTAGTTTAGATGACTTTGCCCACTGGGTAAATCAGCATGTTCCTCCTAGAGAGCCAACGGGAAAACACCATGGTCTTTTGTACAGCACTTGCAAGCAATTTCCTTCCCAGCATATGTACAGTCCCACGTCAACAAACAGGGAAGTGAACAGTCAGACTTCTCCGTCCCTTTAGCAGCTCCAGGTCATATCCCTTAGAGGAGAGCAGGTACATATGCCTTTCAAGCAACACCTTCTCATCTTCTCTCATCCTAACACACAGCCTTGTGCCCTTGGTACAATTTTAAATCAACACTTCTCATTACTCATGTTCATGGAAAGATGGTATCAGTGATGATTTGCCCTCTGTGAAATAAAGCAAATTCATTTGCTGCCTCTTCAGCCAACAGTCTTCCTGACTGTTTGTCAAGCTCTTTCTCAAAACTCTTCTGAGAGCCATAGCTCA